ATGAACACATTGGGAAGAAGATGAACCAATCACCCCTCCCTTGTCGGAACACAAACACATTCAACGCACTGTCTTGGTCAGCAACAAACACCCACCCACCCTTGCGGAAAACTCACCCATCCTGTAATTACAACCACACCCCCTATAAGGAAACAGGATCCTCTCACCCTTCAATCAGGTCGAGCACGTCCTGGTGGTGTTCCACAAAATTGTTCCCAGACCAGTCTATACCCTCAGCCTCTTACTCCCACCAGTCACAACCACCCTCGTCTAGTCTACTAACCGTCGAGCATCTAGAACGAGTCATCGATGCCCTACTAGCAACTATTCGCCTACTACAAGCAGACTACCCCTTGGCACCCTCACCCCTTCGACCAGGTCGAGCACGTCTTGGTTGTCCACAAACTCGATCCGAGACCAGTCTATGCCCTCGGACTCATACTCCTCCTGCTGCTGCTTCAACACGTGCTGTGGGAAAGCAGACGCAGGGGGGGAGGGGGGTGGGGGGAGGGAGTGGGGGGTGGTTGGGTTTTGAGTGGGGTCATTAGTGAGGTTGGTGCGCAGCTGCTCAGAGCTGGGACAAAAGCAGAGGGGCAAACGTTTCAGAAAGCAGAAGCCAGTGAGGTCTCCTACCCCACCCTCCTATCCACCCTCCCACCCACCCCCTTGGAGTGTCGTACCGAGTTGAAGTGCTGCTGCAGCTTCTCATTCGTGAGGTTGATGCACAGCTGCTCAAAGCTGCAGGGGGGAGGTGGGGGAAGGAGGAGGAAGAGGGGGGAAAGGGGGAGGACGGGGGGGGGGGAGGGGGGAAGGTGGGGGAAGGGGATTAAGGGGGGGGGGGGAGGGGGGAACAGGGGGTGGAGGGGGGAAAGGGGGAGGAAGGGGGGGGAAGAGGGCGGGGGAGAGAAGGGAAGAAGAAGGTTGGGTTGAGGGAAAGATTCTTGGAAAGAGGGAAGGAACTCGTGGAGTAGACTCAAGAAGCAGAGACGAAAGCTGCTCAAGCAAAGAGCATTTCCCTCATGAGAGAGGGTTGATGCGCGTGTGAGCGCATGTGTGTGTGAGTGCCTGCTTAAAGCTGGAACGGCACGGAGTGGGATGGGTGATGATGGGAAGGAGAGGAGGGGGGCGGGGGTGGGGCGGGTGGGGGGAGAAGTAGGAGTACGGGCGAGTCAAAGAGGGGGGGGTGCATGCACCCAAGCATTCCAAAAGCAACAAGTGCATGCTCCTGCAATCAATCACAAACTGTAATCGCAAACGTGCAATCACAGATATACGCACCTGTTGACTTCGAAGTGCTCGAACCCATAAATATCCAGGACTCCGATGATAGACGCGGGGTTGGGGTCTTGACCAATGCTCTCATTGACCTTCGAGACAATCCTGGGGGTGGGGAGCGGGAGGAGGAGGACGGGGGGGGCCGGGAAGTGGGAAGGGTATGTTCAGTTTGGTTATAACTTGTCTACTGCTTTCATCGACCTTCCACACACTCCTGGTGGTGAAGTGGGGAGGAGGAGGAGGAGGAGGAGGAGGAGGAGGAGGAGGAGGAGGAGGAGGAGGAGGAGGAGGACGTGGGGCAGGGAAATGGGGAGGCGAAAGTCAGAGAACCCTTGAATCGTTAGATCCGTGCCCAATGCGACCATCTACCTTCAATCAAGTCAATGCTGGGGTTGGGGGAGGGAGGAGGCGGATGGGGGGCAGAGAAGTGCGGTGACAACAGAATGGGAACCCTTGAATCGTTATATCCATGCCCAATGCGTTCATGCACCTTTGAGACAATCCTAGTGATGGAGCGAGAGGGAAAAAAGGGGGGTGTGCGAGAGAAGCGGGGCGGGGACAGAGATTTAGTAGCCTTTTTCTGGTACAATCTTTGCCAATGTTCTCTCACTCACCAGTCGAAGGGGCACCCACCAGTCGAAGAGGCGTGAGTAGAGGAACTTGGCGAGAGTGTCTCGCTTGGCAACGGCCTTCTTGGGGTCCAGCGGGCTCTTGATGACCTCGCGGCCGAACTTGCGCGTCTGCGTCACAAGAGACTCCCACAGCGCAGCCTCGTCGCACCTGAGGGGATGGAAGAGAGGGGGGGAGGGGATAGATAGAGCAGAGCAGATGCTTATGAATCAACTCAAAACGATCATAACTAGGTGCGCTCAAAGGGCTCTTGATGCCTTTTCTGACGAAGCTGCAAGGTTGAGAGACCAGAGAGACCAAAGACCAGAGACAGAGAGACCAGAGACCAGAGACCAAAGAGACACATATCGCAGATGGAAGCATAGCGGGGACGCAAGAGCAAAGAGAAGCCACGCGACATTCTTGCGTATAACTAGTGGTGGCTGAGGCATAGGCAGTCAAGAACGGTCTTGACTGCCGCTTCTGCCTCGAGTTCGTGGCAACCACCGGGGGCTGCTCCATTCCTTCCCCCTGTCCTCGTAAAACAACAGAGCGCCCCAAATGACACCTACCTACTAGGTATACTGACCCCTAAGTAGCACCTGCACCGCTGCTGGTATCACCTGCCCATAAGTAGCACCTCAACACCTATTTTCCAAGGACGCAGGTAACTCCTACTCAAGTAGGCGTGCCACGGTCTTGACTGCAGCCTCTGCCTTGTCGTTCTTGGCAACCAGCGGGGGCTGCTCCCCTCCCCCCTCAGTGGCTTCAGGCTGAGTGAAGTCCAAGTTGCCCAGATGCATTATGGCCGCCACCACTGTGAATATGCCCACCTGATAAGATCGGACACGCATGTGGCATGGGGCGATGGGATATGCATGCAGAATGGGGCAGTGGGGCAAAAGTATGACCAAGGGTGGCTGCCCCCCCCTACCTCCCCCCGTCTGTGCTCTGAGGCTGAGCGAAATCCAAGTTGCCCAGATGCATTATGGCCGCCACCACTGTACAAATGCCCACCTAATACGATCAGACCTGCATGTGGCATGGGATAGTTGGGTAAAAGTATCATCATGGGTGGCTGCTCCCCTGCCTCCCCCGTCAATGCTCTCAGGCTGAGTGAACCGCAAGTTGCCCAGGTGCAGTATGGCCGCCACCACTGTGAACATGCCCAGTCCACGGATAAGCACAGGGAATGGGGCAGCAGGGCAGCAAGCAAGCAACGACGAGACGCATCAGAAACAGCAAAGCCTGCAGTACCCTGTTCTGCCATGCGGCCATGCTGTACCAGGTACACTATGGCCGCCAGCTCCCCACCTGCTCTTTCCCATGCTCAAACCCCAGGTGACTTTTGAGTCGACTCAAAAGTCTTCCACCCTGCCTCACCTGTTCTTCTGGGTCGAACCCCATGACATTCATGGCAGCGCGTGTCCGCTCATACTCCATCGCATTGTTGTTCTTTCCGGGCAGCTCGTAGCAGTCGCTCTGTGACAGGTAGTAAAAGTTTTGTGCCCGCTCGCCCTCTGTGGGCAGAGAAAACTTCTCTGCTTCCTGCGGTATGGATAGGAGAGGGGGCGGGGTAATGGGGGGAGAGCAAGAGGTGTGAAGTGAGGCTTGTGTTTCATGATCAAGCAAGAAAGGTGTAGAGGAAGGGGAAATGGATGGGAGGGAAGGAAGAGGTGAAGTGAGGCAGGTAGATTCAATACTAGTCAACGGAAGCAGTAAGGAGAGGTAGGAGCAATCAGGATTACGATCTGCACCACTCTGGACTGGGAAGTTCAGCTCGAGCCCATGCACATTTACTCACTCCCACTCCTTCACAACCATACTCACTCATGCTCACTCCTTCACAACCACACTCACTCACTCTCACTCCTTCACAACCACACTCACTCACTCTCACTCCTTCACAACCACACTCACTCACTCTCACTCCTTCACAACCACACTCACTCACTCTCACTCCTTCACAACCACACTCACTATCACTCCTTCACAACCACACTCGCTCACTCTCACTCCTTCACAACCACACTCACTCACTCTCACTCCTTCACAACCACATTTCCTCACTCACTCGCCTCTGGCGTGGTCCCATCCCATGGAGCGGCTCTCACACACACATGCGCTCACACACACATGCACTCACACAAACATGCACTCACACACATATGCACTCACACACTCACTCACAGACTCCCTCACTCCCTCACCTCGGGCGTGGCCCCATAGAGCAGCTGGTAGAAGCAGTGGTAGGAACGCTCAGGACTACCGATCTGCACCACTCTGGACCGCTCCAGCAAATACGAGCGGATGGCTGCTCCTGTCACCCTGCCCTCCTTGTCGAAATGAATCTCTATGAACTTGCCAAAGCGACTGGGGCAAATAAAAAGACCGGGGAAAGTACGAGGAGAGGAGAGAGAGGCAGGGGTGTGTGAGTGGGTTGCTCTGTGAGTGAGGCGCTCCAGCAGGCAGGAGTGGGTGGTTGCCCCCTGGGACACTGCCCACCTTGTCAATGCGAATCTGAATAAACTTGCCAAAGCGACTGGGAATAGATGGGCAGTGGGACAGAGGTTGTGCACGGCAGGTTGGTTATTATGCTGGAACAAACAAGGTTATTAGAGTGAACCCGACTGGATGGCTGCCTCTGTGACCCGGCCCTCCTTGTTAACGTGAATATCAACGAACGTGCCAACGCGACTGGGTACAGATGGACAGGGGGACAGAGGTGCATGGCAGGTTGGTCCCTGGCACAAGGTACTTAGAGAGCGAACCCGACTGGATGGCTGCCCTAGTGACCCTGCCATCCTTCCTTGTCAAAGTGAGTTTCATTGGACTTGCCAAAGCGACTGGGAGGGAGGAATGGAATTGCTGGGGAGGGGGTAGAGAGGCGTATAACTGGGGGACGGGTACGGGGGCCGCTTTTGAGTCGACTCAAAAGCAGAGAGGCGTATAACTGGGTGACCGTGACGGGTGACGGGTGACGGGGGGAGACAAAGAGACCTTGAGATGGGCAACTAGATGGCGTGATGAAGCTCGAGACTTGAAAAATGGACGGGCAGTGGTGAGGGTGTGCGGGTGGGTCCTGCTGCTACGCATTTCCTTGCCATGGCAACGGGGACAGAGTTGCTGTTACCTGGAGTTATTGTTACGCATTGTCTTGGCGTTTCCAAACGTCTCCAGGACTTGGTTGGACTGGAGGGGGTTGCATTGGAGGGGGTTGTATTGGAGGGGGTTGCATTGGAGGGGGTTGTATTGGAGGGGGTTGTATTGGAGGGGGTTGTATTGGAGGGGGTTGCATTGGAGGGGGTTGCATTGGAGGGGGTTGTATTGGAGGGGGTTGTATTGGAGGGGGTTGCATTGGAGGGGGTTGTATTGGAGGGGGTTGTATTGGAGGGGGTTGTATTGGAGGGGGTTGTCTTGGAGGGGGTTGTCTTGGAGGGGGTTGTATTGGAGGGGGTTGTATTGGAGGGGGTTGTATTGGAGGGGGTTGTATTGGAGGGGGTTGCATTGGAGGGGGTTGTATTGGAGGGGGTTGTGTTGGAGGGGGTTGTATTGGAGGGGGTTGTATTGGAGGGGGCTGTATTGGAGGGGGCTGTATTGGAGGGGGTTGTATTGGAGGGGTTTGGGGGAGATTGGATGGCAGTCGGGGGGGGGTTGAGGGGTTGGGAGGGAATGAGAGGGAAGGGAATGGGAAGGGAATGGGAGGATGTGAGGACGCGGAGGGTAGAAATAGAATAGAAGGAGTAGGGGGGAACAGTAAGGAATGGGAAAATCGGAGACAGGGTGAAACAGTGGAAGAGGGGTGGGAGGGGTGGGAGGGATGCGAGGGAAAGGAGGGAATCAGGAGAATGCCAGGGAATTGGGTGGGAGGGACTGTAAGGTGGGTGTGAGAGGAGTGGGAGGGAACGGGAGAGAGAGTGAGAGAATGAAGGGGAATGGGTGAACGAGAAACAGGGAATGGAAGGAATGTCCAATCTTCTGCCCTAACGCATCCCTCGCCCACTGTCCTCCTCTCCCTCTGACATCCCCCTCACCTCCAACAGCCTCCTCACCTCCAACAGCCTCCTCACCTCCAACAGCCTCCTCGCCTCCAACACCCCCCTCACCTCGAACAGCCTCCTCACCTAAAAACTCTATCCACACAGTGAGCCGACGGCCCTCGCTGCAGCAGCAGCAGCCCTATCGGCCACTGCAGCCCCCGTCAGGTACTCCATCACTAGCTCCGTGGTATCTCTCAGCTATCAACTGCTCACCATCAACTCCCCTGCCCCATCACCTCGCCCCTGCTCCCCTTACCAGTTGAACTTACTTCTTCACACACTTTTCACACTCTGCTCACCTCCAACACTCGCTCCACACACTGAGTTGACGCTGCAGGCACCCCCACTTCGCCACCTCCCCCTCCTCCCCGCCTCCCTCTCCTTCCCCCCCCCATGCCCACCGCCCCTGCAGCCCCCGCTGCAGCAGCAGCAGCCTTATCCGCCACGCCTGCCCCCGCCAGGTACTCCATCACCAGCTTGGTCGTCTCTGTCTTGCCGGCTCCGCTCTCCCCACTGATCAGCACCGACTGGCTGCGCCCTGCTTCTCTCATGGACCTGCGTGGGAGAGCGTGTGGGAAGAGTTGGGGGGGGAGAGAGAGGGGCAGTGGTAAAGAGGGCGGCGGAACTGCTCCTGCTAGTCCCCGCCAGGTACTCCATAACCAGCTTGGTCCTCTCTGTCTTGCCGGCGCCGCTCTTCCCACTGGCCAGCACCGACTGGCTGCGCCCTGCCTCTCGCATGGACCTGCCCGGGACAGTATTTTGTGCCGGGGAGGGAGAGAAAGCTGTATAAGAGCCATTCTCTGCAGAGCTGGCCCTGCCATGCACTCGGTGCCGCTCCCCCCACTGATCAGCACCGACTGGCTGCGCCCTGTCTCCCTCATGGACCTGTAAGGTGGGAGAGTGAGAGTGAGTAAGTGATATTGTGTGTGTGTGAGTGCGTGTAGGAGTACAAGAGTGGGGGGGAGGGAGGGAGAGGTAAAGAGGGTGCCAGTGCTGCCTAACAGGGTACACGCACCCCTAAACACTACACACCTGTACACACCTGTATGCATGAGAGCCATATGCACATTTAGACACCTGCACACGCGTGCACTTACCTGTAAGCATGGTCAGCAATGGCGAACACGTGAGGGCTGAGCTGCCCCAGAGGCACATTGCGGTACTGGCTCTTGAGCTGGGGGTGGTAGAGGCCCGGCAGGTAGATGAAGGGGTTGACTGCGATAAGAATGGTTCCTGTGTACGTCTGCAGGGGGTGCATGGCAGGGGATGGGGAGTGGGGCAAGGAGAGCAGGACAAGTTGGTATTCAGCTGGGGACGGTAGAGACCTTGGAGGTAGGTGAAGGGCTTGGTTGCAAGAGGCGTTGTGCACGTATCGCCTCTTCAGGTTGTATGGCACCCCCGGCTCGTGCAGGTGGTCCAGCTTCACCATATCATCCCTGGGGTCCCATTTCCCTTCCCTCCTCTCTCCCCATCCCCCCCTCTCCCATGTGGCCATCAATATAGTCACACGGGCATCAGTATAGTCACACTACAGACTCACATATATGGCATTGCGCACGTATCGCCTCTTTAAATTGTGCAGCACGCCTGGCTCGTGCAGGTGATCCAGCTTCACCATATCGTCCTTGGGGTCCTTTTCCTCGTCATCCTCCCTAGGGAAGCACTCCTTAGCGGGGATAAGGACCTACAGAGGGGGAGCATGGTTGTGGGGAGTGGGGGAATGGGAGGCGAAGTGAGCACGGGGGGAACTTGAAGCGCCTCAAAGGCTCAAAGGCTTGTGCAGGTGATCCAGCTTCACCATCCCATGTGGTCCTTGGGGTCCTTCTTCTCGTCCTCGTCTCTAGGGAAGCACTCCCTAGCGAGGATAAGGACCAACAAGAAGGGCAAAAGGATGTGACGGGTGGGGGTGTCATGAAGGGATGGGGTCCCGAAGGACGCCTTAATTTATGTCCACATTGCCTTCCACTGCCGGCTCTCCAGCCCCAAAAAAACTTGCTTAAGCACAACGCCATATACTAGGACCCCTTCATATTTTCTAGGGTTATTTACCCACCTTGTCCCCCTTGGGATCCCTTGGTTTTCCTCCACTGCCGTCAACTCAGCTGCAGCAAACGCCACCTTTCCCCCGTAATATGAAAGTTTCCGGGGTTATTCACCCACCTTCTCGTCGCCCTTGGGATCCACGAGGATCGCCTCGATAGTCTCCCCATTGTCCTGCACTGCCGTCACCTCAGCTGCAGCGAACGCCGCCTTCTTATGCGCCACCCATATCTTGGACCCCACCACAAAGCGCGCCGCCTCCGCTCCTGCTGACGTGTCATCTGGCGCTGTTTCTTCTCCCTGCTCCGAAGGGAAGGGGGAGGATGAGAGGGGTAGGGCGAGAGAGGGAGGGGGAGTGGGAAGGGGGGGGGGGGAAAGAGGGGGGAAAGAGGGCAGGGTGGAGACGGAAAATGAAGGGAAAAGGGGGATGGAGGTCGGCGGGAGTGGAGTGGGGGATCGGAAGAGACATCGGTAGTCCGTCAGATGATTCTGAGAGATCTCCTACTAGGCGAATGAATCCCCACAACGGAAAGCGTCGGAATCAGGCTGGAACAGCAGATTCCGTCTTGGGTACGTTGTCGTCATCAGGATGATGGATAGACAGATTCCGTCTTGGGTGTGTTGTCGTCATTAGGATGATGCATTGACAGATTCCGTCTTGGGTATGTTGTCATCATTCGGACGACGGAACGACAACGATTTGTTCCCGTCTTAGAACAAAAATCGAACCGTTCCGAGGTGACTATAGAGTCGTCTCAAAAGGCATTGACCGCGGCGACATGTTCCTGTCCTAGAATAAGAAACATTGTCAGAAACATGTTGCGACAGTGACATGTACCGACATCGACATGTTCCGTTACTTGATCTCGAGTGCCTGTTTGACATTTAAATACATCATCGTCGAACCATTCCCTAGAGTGCTTGATCGCTTGACGTTCCGTGAACAAGCGAGAGACGCGAGACGATATTCAGCTCGTGCAAGGGAAACGGGACTGATTCCCAACGCCCGCTCGCACGCCGTTCGTGCGGATTCCAGGTAGATCAAATGGCATGATCATAGGAATCATGCGCAAGAGCTCCTTCGCTCCCTCTCACTTCTGACACGTCGTCACGTCGTCACGTCGTTACGGTGAAGCTCTTGTAGACTACAATGAACTCAAGCACTATACGATGATACCTAACGATCCCAACCACTAATCTGAGGATTTCTGGACTTCACTTAGAGAGTTTGGGCGAGCAAAACCTACGACCTAGACTGTGTCCTTCTAACGATCGCATGGTTAACATTGCTCGTACCATTGTCGATGTCGCGACGAATTACGGCATGAAGCACGGGATAGGAAAGACCGGCGCGACGCGGACGAATGGCAGGGTCCAAGATAGAAGCAGTAACTAATATGCGTGATAGCAGCAGGCGAATGCCCAAGTGCTGTAAAGTGTATCTGAGACTGCGTTATTACTGCAGAAGATTGGGAGTAGGATCCTACTGGCATGCCATGACACCTACCAGTCAGCTACAGATTCGACCAGATGTGGCGTCTCGTCAGATTCGCAGGTCAAGGAAAGTCCGTTCCACGGTGAGTTGGCGAGGAACCAGGCTCTCATGTACAAGTCATATGCCTTGTAGACGACTTCCTTTTACGCCCAGGAGTACCCCATAGGCATTTTATCCTTAAGGGCCTCTCTTTGTACGCAAAGTGTACCCGTCTCAACTCAACAGTAACTTCGACACTCAATTCGGCTGATCTTTGGCCGTCCAATCAGTTTGCTCTTGTCTTTTCAGGGCGACCTCTCCTACTGGTTGGCGAGCCTTTAAACATCCAGAAGTGTCAGGCTCGCCAACCAATTTCGAGACAAAAATCCACATGATGCTATAGATACGACCACCTCGGTGACGGTCCAGTAGATTAACGCCAGCAACGCCAACAGAATCCGTCTGCGTAGCCCTGGGAAATTCCGTCATCAAACTGCCAACAGGGAATCGCCAAGTAAGCAACAGAGGGGTCCCAACATCGTTCCCCCCGCCAACAATGCAGACACCACGGGGTTATTTGTATGCCCCAAACATCGACCTCTCCACGACACAAATAACGAGCCCGTCAGACCCACGAGGTCGTCCGCATGGCACCTGTACGCCGAACTACACTGTCCGTCGGGCAGAAGCTTGCAATCTGCCAGTACGCGAAGAAGAATCCGACTTTACGTCTCGAAGACATTGGGCGATGGTGCCACACAAGACACGGCCTGTGGCCGGATCGCAGCACAGTCGGCCGAGTTCTCCAAAAAGAAGTGAAGTGGCGGGCCATCGGGCCCGAACGCGCAAAGTTCAAAAGGTTGCGTAACCCACAGTGGCCTTTACTAGAACCTCGACTTAAGAGTTGGCTGAAAAGCACAAACGCTACTGGCTTGCCAGTGTCGACCGCTCTAATCCAGCAGCGCGCGATTATGCCAGCAACCGAGTGCAACGTCCCAAGCCACTTTAAAGCTTCTGTTGGATGGGTTCAAAAAGCATTGCGCCGAATGGGATTCAAGTGGCGTAAGATGAGCGGCGAGGCGAAGTCTGCCGACGAGGGCGCCGCGCTGACCGCGCAACTGCATTTCCCGAGGCTGTGCGGCCAGCTTGGCCTCACCCAAGAGAACCTCTTCAACTTCGACGAGACCTGCGTCTACTACAGTCTCCTACCCGACCACACTTTCTGCATCGATCCTACCCCGGGAAAGAAGGTTTGCAAGGACCGGCTTACAGTCGTGCTGCTGGTAAACGCGGACGGCTCAAAGCTATTCAAGCCGCTAATCATTCACAAATTTGAACGGCCCCGTTGTTTCGCAAAGCAGAAGTTTGACCCTTCGAAGTACTGCTACTGGCGCGCGAACACGTCGGGATGGATGACTGCAGAGGTGAGTGCGTCGTTTCAAATCTTTTGCTTGCAATGTGCCGTGTTCTGTTCGATGCGAAATGAGTCGCGCGAATGTAAATTTATTCAACTAACAAGAAATGCATCCCATATGCCCCTCGAAGGTCTTCACGGCGTTTTTCGAACATATCAACGCGTGCTGCCTGGCGGAAGGAAGACGCATCGTCGTCATGCTGGATATCGCGTCGAGTCACCTGCTCCAGTCCCCATTCGCCACCCCAGCTGACATCTGCGGCTTTCTGACACGGGCACTCTTGCAAGTGCGCCTCGTTTACTTGCCGCCGAACACGGCCCCGTTCACCCAGCCTCTGGATCAGGGCCTCATCGCAGCTCTGAAGGCACGTTACAAAGTCGAGTTGCTTCAAGCAGTTCTCGCACAATGGTAGATACCTGGCATGACCGTCGCCGCCGTTCAGAAGTGGAAGCCCGAAATGTGGCATGTGGTTACCTGGGTGTCGGATTCGTGCCTTTGGCTGGATACCGCGACCATCCAGAAGTGTTTCTGGAGGACACGAGTGCTGCCAGCCAGCTGGCAGCCGTTGCTACCTCTCCTCGGTGCCACTTCTGAAGAGCAAGAGCCCCGGCTAGAGGACGACATCGAGCCAGTGCAGCAGCTCATGAGCGCCCTGCCGTTTGGGCCGAGCGACATGATTTCAGCCGCTCGCTTCGTCACCGCCGAGCGTGACGACGAGACGAGCAAGCCGACCGGGGTGGATCCGCATGAGGTGGAGCCGCTTGGCCCGGCCCAGCGGGATGCGTGGTGGGTGAACGCGCCTCCCCCCCCCGGCTGCACAAGACTCAGCGCGGAACCGTCGCACTCTGTCGCGCATGGCGACAGAGATGCTGATTGGCTACGCAAAGTCTATTGGATTGGCGCCTCGCGATCTACGCATCTTGTTTGACATCCGCGAACCTTCGGTTATTGATCGCCTGGAGCGCGCATCCCCCCGCTTGGACACGAACACTGCGCCCGGCGCGGCGGAGGAAGGGTACCTCTGTCATGTCCACGGAGCCACTGCCGTCATGGCCGGATACCCAGACGCTGGCGAGTGGATGTTGTTTGGCGCGCATCCCGCTACCTATCGCGGATAGTAGTCGGTTAAAATCTGTGCATTAATAGGTGGTTAAATGTGGAGTTCGGGTTTGGCGCGTGCGTGTGGAGGCGCGAGCGGCGTTGTGCTCTGTGTATGACGTTAGGGGCGAGACGCTTGTCCTGTGTTGCACTGAATTGGGTAGTTTTGGTCTTCGTAAGTATGGTTTTCGGTTTGAGTTTTATTTCGCGTCTAGTCTACAGTCGAGTGTTGTCTTTGTTGAGGCAATTCTGTTTGTTGCCTAATAACACAGCATGATTGTCACATGACGCATGATTTCGGGCATTCTGTTGTAACGCAGAGTTGATACACTCGCGGAAAGGCTTGCGACGCTGCGACGTTTACTCAATCGCTGCATACGCAAGTCAAGCCGCCCATGCACAGTACACAAAAAACAACGCCCCATTTCCTGGGAAAACCCCATAGTCCACGTTGCCCCTACCGTACGGCCCGGATTCGTTAAAAGCGAAATCTCTCGCGTCGCCCCCGGGGCTCTCAGGGCATATGACATGTACCAGGGAGTGGTGATAGATTTTACAAATATTACCGCGCAGTTTCACTGACCCCGTGACACACTCTTTCCGTCAGAATCGAACCTCTTTGGTACCCTCCATCCAGACGCTGTCAGGACTGCCGTCCGAACGGGACACCCAGTTCCAAACATTACCTGGTGATGCAGCGAAAAATGCGAGCAACGCACGCCGTCGCAGAAATCGCCAGAGGCCCAGCCAACCTCTGTTCACTTTGGGCTGGTGACATCTTCGCAAATGTTCCGTTTTGTCGGCATTCGCATGTGTCGAAACATTTGAACGAAATGTACCACACTTGGTGTCCCGACATAGCATTGCTTTGAACTGGATGTACAGGTCATATTTCCGTAGTGCAAACTCCAAGAACTTTGGAATGAGGCACTTAGCGAATAGGGCGGTACGCCCGGGCAAATTTGCTTGAAGCGTTCCCAAGAAAGTGGGAGCGCTGTCGTATGCGCAGCTGGCAGGGGCGGGGATTATGTCGTATGCGCAGCTGACAGGGGCGGTAATGCTGTCGTATGTGCAACTAGCAGGAGTGGGACGTTGTCGTTAGCAGCGACAGGGTCCGCGTAGGCATGTTGCGAGGTGTTCGCATGGCGTGTCCACTATGGGTTTCAGGTGCGCACGCTAATTGATGCGATTCCATACGAACAAAACACGATTTGATTCCAAACCGTCAAATGGTTCTACTATACATAGACTCGAAACTATGTGAAGTTGGTAAAAAAAAAAAAAAAAAAAAAAAAAAAAAACGTAAAACAACGATCAAAACCGCCATCATTTCAAAACTACAGCATACGTCGACGCGGAGGAGTGCATGGCGGAACTCCACAAATTTTCGCCATCGCAAATGGCGTGTGTCGATTGGCGCGCATAGTGTTTCTGCATCAGCCCGTAAGTAGGTGGATCGCAACGTTGAGATTTGTTTAGGTTTGTGACACACTGCGCTCGCAACTGGTTGTAGACCATTCCGCAGCACATTGATGTGGAACAGACGACTTCTAATGGTGGTAACGAATGTTTCAAATGGTGGTTGCGACTGTTTTCATTAGCCAGGTGCGTACATGGGTTTCGCACATCCGAAATAAATTGCACCTGTGTAAATTTTGCGCTAGTCGTCGTTGCACCAATCGCATATGACCAGTACCACACACATATCGAGTTTGGACAATCGGCGGACGGAGCTCAGGGCGTGGTGCCATGATTACTGACCATGAAAACAATGCAAAAAAAACTGAGCGAAAGTTATCTCGGCAAAGTTCCCCTAATAAATCGCGGAACCGTGATCGCATCACAAAATTTCTTCGACAAGAACCGAATTCAACAGTACATGAACAGTGCGGGGGGGGGGGGGGGGAACAAACAGTGACTCAAGACCCCCATATAAAGAGTTTTTAGTTGTTAGGTTACTGTTACTAGGACGATGTCCACTGTAGTCACGGTTAGCATGGTGGCATTTGAAAACAAGCAAAATCCCAAAACCACCACGAGAACTCACGTGACTGCCTCGCGTGTGTCACGCACCCCAAACCAAGCCCCAACCTACCGTGCAAACGATTCATAAGCTGCGATATTGATGGGTGGCCGATCCCTTCTAACCGTGTCTCCAAAACCACCAGATAGCCCACGCACTCAAAAGCCAGACCTTTGCTCGCGCTTCAGGTTTGGGAGTCATAACCAGGGCTTGAGCTAGGTTTTATTGTAGCTGGACGATTTGGGCCCCTCTGAGAAAACCCCTGTAAGAACTGAGCCGAACCAAAAATTGCTCTGATAGATCAGGGCCGGAGCCGAAAAAGGCCTGAGCACCACCAATTTTTGCGGGATGAGAAAACATGTACCCACGCTACTACTTCGGTAGGGCAATCGGTTTTGGCCTCCCTCTGGAGCACCACAACCGTGGGGAAGAGGGGGGAGAAGGGTGACTCACATACCTAA